AGTCCCACATCCACGTGCGTCATGGCCAGTTCAAGCAAGGCCAGCTCAAGCAAGGCCACCACCGCGGCCAAAGGCAAGTCCCAGTCCAAGCACCCCGTGTTCGTGGCCCAGTCGGAGGAAAGACAGAAAAGTTTGCAGAACGAGAAGACCGTCTACAAGTGGATTGAGCAAGCGCAGGAGGCGGACACAAAAGGGTATAGGCAGTACTGGTGAGGTGTAGGCTGTGCAACCAGTTGTTCACAGCATCGAAGTCACGTGCGATGCAACATTTCCTGAAGAAGAGAGCAGCATGTCCTTACCGCACAGGGGAGATTCTCCATCTGTTGGCGTTGGATGGAGCTAACGTTAAAGAAGGGGGTGCAACAGCTCAGACAATGCTGCATAAGTACAGAATGGACAATGGCATCGGCGAGGACTGCGGCTTGGAAGCGGACTCAGTGCGTCAGGCAGCAACGGAGCTGGAGCAGCATATTGTCCCACCTCCTGCACCGGGGAGGGAGTCTGTTGTAAACATTGACACCACCCAAGAGGCTAAGCCTTCCGATCCAGATGTGGTGGTGGGAGATGAGACGGCCCCTGGTCCGTCAGGTCAGGCATGATGCATCCACAAAGGTATCGAAATCGGGGAAGACAACACAAACTTCCATCAGGAAGTGGACAGAGAACACCGCCCAAAAGAGACTTGATCTTGCATGGGCGGAGGCATTGTACAGGGCGGGCGTGCCATTCAACTTCATCCGGTTGGACAAGACGAAGGAGCTTCATGACGTGTACATGGAGTTGGCGGCCCGCAATGCACGAATGGACTTGCCTGTCTTTGAAACCATCCGGACAGTGGCTTTGAATATTGTGTATGACAATGTTCGGGCAGAGGTGCGGCCGCTTATGGACAAGTGAGACATCAGCGGTTGCACTCTCATCACTGATGGGACCCAAGACATGAAGTCGAGGGCTGTGTTGAACTTTGTAGCGGCTGGAGAGAGAGAGCGGGGCTGTGCTCATCAAGGTTGTGGATGTCTCTGATGGGAAGAAAAACGCGAGAGCGTTGGCAAAGTTATGGGAAGAGGTGATAAGGGAGATCGGTGTTCACAGGGTCAATGCAATCTGCACTGACAATGCATCAGCAAACAAGCGAGCGGCGAAACTCCTATCAATGAGGACTGACAAAGCCATTGCGACCCTGAGCTTGCTACTGAAAGACATATCCAACATCGCATGGATCAAGACGGTGTGGAAGAAGGGAAGGAATTTGGTGAAGTTCATCAAGAATCACCAAAGCACGATGGGGTTGCTGAGTCGGTGTTCCATGGGAGACAGGAAGGTGCTTGTCATGCCAACGGAGGTCAGATTCACGTCTGTTTACCAGATGTTGATCCGTATATGGGACAGAAGACATGTGCCGAAGCACATGATGGACAACAGCTGGTTGGACACCTACTGGAGCAGCCGGAAAGACAGGGAGGATGCAGAGGATATCTTTGCTCATGTGAGATGTGACATCTGGTGGCAGAAGGTGGACACCATTCTCTCCATCATGAAACCCATATACGACCTGCTGCGAATGATGGACAGTGATGGGGTGGCACCTTCACAACTGTGGGGCTTTGACGACCTCCTCAGCAAGCGGATGCGGACCATGTCAGGTGTGACCAGCGAGCAGCACCACGAGATAATGAAGTTGGTCGTCGATCGTTGCAAGATGATGCGTCAGCCAGCCCATGCAGCAAACTTCTTGTTGTCACCTGCGCGGAGGGACCCTAGATGGTTGTTGAACAAGGACTCCCCACTCGTCCACAACGCATTGAAGTTCTTCTTGACACAGTTGGCCGAGAACTCTTGGGGCGATTTGGACTCTCACGAGGAAGTGTGGAACAGCCTGTGGACATTTCATTGCCAACCACCGAAGGAGAAGATGAAGGATGAGGACTTGTGGAATCGGTTCGCTGTTGCCGACGCATCTTTGGAGAGGAAGACAACATCTCAATGGTGGGGCTTGTACGGGTCAAAGCACATCGAATTGTAGAAAATCATAATGCGGGTGACGGCAATGTGGAGCACAGCAACGCCATGCGAAAGGAATTGGTCGTCCTTGGACTTGGTCCACTCCAAACGGCGGAACAACTTGTCCAGTGAAAGTGTAGCCAAGTTGGTCTACATTCACTGGAACATGCAGTTGTTGCGGGTTCCTAGGAGCACGACTGACGGGTTCATTGACCTGTGGGCAACCTTCTTTGACGAGCCTGAGGCACCTCCGGTGGCGAACGATGCAGCCAAGGATCGCCGTGAAGTGGACAAGGAGGAGGAGGCGGCTAGGGTTGCACGCCTGAAGAAAATTCCGAAAGGGAGGCTTCCCGCTGGCTTGTTGAGCGATGATTCTGGGAGCAATGATAACAAGGACTTGGTGTGGTGTGACAAGGTGGACAACAGGGTGCATCGAGCACGAGGTGGAAAGGGGAAAGGGAAGGCCGCTGTGGTTGAAGACGAGGAGGTCGAGTGGGATGATGATGATGATGATGACACCGACTCGGATTTTGAAATTCGTCCACACACGGGCTGCACGGACTCTGACACGGACGGAGGACGGGCCGATTTGTGGGACGTGCCTAAAGCGACGTGTCACTTGGACAATGACGATGACCTCATCGTTGAGGACAGTGAGGCACGTGATCGCAGGGTCAGAGCGGAAGCACAATCTCTGGCGGACAGGGATCGTGTAATGGTGCAACAGCGTATGGCAGAGGAAAACTCACGTCGACTAGCAGTCCCCGCACACCTCAGAACCGTGGAGGGGCATGTGCAGCAACAGGCCGAGCAACGACCACAGGAGCCGGTGCAGCAGCTGGTGGAGCAGAATCCGCAGCGGGTGGTGCGGCAGCAGCAGGAGCAGCGCCCGCAGCAGAAGCAGCAGAAGCAGCAGAAGCAACATGAGGTGGAGCCAGAGCGGCAGCAAGTGGAGCAGCAGTTGCAGCAGGACATGGAGCGGGAGCAGCAGAATGTGAAGCAGCAACAACAACAACACAACGAAGAGCAACAACAACTGCAGAACGAAGAGCAGCACCAACAACCGAGCCAACAGTCGGGCCAGGAGCAGCACACGGGTCAGCAGCAGCAGCAAACGGATCAACAGCAGCACCNTCACTTGGACAATGACGATGACCTCATCGTTGAGGACAGTGAGGCACGTGATCGCAGGGTCAGAGCGGAAGCACAATCTCTGGCGGACAGGGATCATGTAATGGTGCAACAGCGTATGGCAGAGGAAAACTCACGTCGACTAGCAGTCCCCGCACACCTGAGAACCGTGGAGGGGCATGTGCAGCAACAGGCCGAGCAACGACCACAGGAGCCGGTGCAGCAGCTGGTGGAGCAGAATCCGCAGCGGGTGGTGCAGCAGCAGCAGGAGCAGCGCCCGCAGCAGAAGCAGCAGAAGCAACATGAGGTGGAGCCAGGGCGGCAGCAAGTGGAGCAGCAGTTGCAGCAGAACATGGAGCGGGAGCAACAGAATGTGAAGCAGCAACAACAACAGCACAACGAAGAGCAGCAACAACTGCAGAACGAAGAGCAGCACCAACAACCGAGCCAACAGTCGGGCCAGGAGCAGCACACGGGTCAGCAGCAGCAGCAAACGGATCAACAGCAGCACCACGTCGAGCAGCAGCAACAACAGCCAAGGGATCAGCAACAACAGGACGTGGAGCAGCAGCAACACGATGATGAGCAGCAGCAACAGGACGTGGAGCAGCAACAGCAGCAAGCGGAGCACCACCAGCAGCAGCAGCACGATGTTGAGCAGCAGCAGCAGCAGCCAAGAACAACAGCAGCAGCCGCAGCAGTGACCACTACGACAGACACTGCACCAAAAGTTGTTGCTGGCTCCAGCTTTTACTGCCCCCCACCGATGCCTCGCTTGGACGAGGCCATGGTCCATGACAACGTGGACATCAGCAGGGCTGGGAGGAAGAGAAAGGTTCCCGTGGAACCTGTCGTTGCGAAGCGCGGGCGAGGGCGCCCAAGGAAGGGAGAGGGGAAGTCTATTGCGGCAGTACCTGTTCTGCCCCCCATGGCGACAGCGGCCAGTAGGCCGAAACGCAAACAACGGAAGCGGGTTGTGGTCGAGGATGACCCCACCGGGGCAGAGGACAACAGCGACGGGCAACGGGAGTCGGATTGCGACTGGCCGTGACTCTCATGCACATGTCTCATCATCTTCTTCTTCTTCTTCTTCTTCTTCTTCTTCTTCTTCTTCTTTCGTACAGACTCTACGGTGACTACACTGCGGTAGTTGTTTCTTAAAGTTCACAAACGATGGATCCGCACGCATACAGAGATTGTTGAGAGAGAGAGAGAGAGAGAGAGAGAGAGAGAGAGAGAGAGAGAGAGAGAGAAAGTTTCTGTGTTTCAGAACTTCTGGAAAAAAAAAAACAGAGTGTCTGTGACTCTGTCACTCTACTTTCTGTGCTGATCTGTGCTGATCTGTGGTGTGTGAGACTAATGTGTGTTTCTGTTGTGTGTGTCAGTGGTGTGTGCATGAAGCTGTTGGTTGGAACCGGTTGAAGCTGGTGTGTGTCAGTGGTGTGTTTCTGCTGTGTGTGTCAGTGGTGTGTTTCTGCTGTGTGTGTCAGTGGTGTGTGTCAGTGGTGTGTTTCTGCTGTGTGTGTCAGTGGTGTGTGTCAGTGGTGTGTTTCTGCTGTGTGTGTCAGTGGTGTGTGCATGAAGCTGTTGATTGCCCTGACTGTTTCATGCAACCGGTTGCTGGAACCGGTTGCCTTGACTGTTTCGTGCGACCCGTTGTTGGAACCGGTTGCCTTGACTGTGTCATGCTACCGGTTGCTGCGACCGGTTGCCTTT